CCCCAAAACCCCAAAACCCCGCATTTTCAATTTAATTAATAATAGTAGTTGAAAACGAATAATAAAAATATAATTTTATTGAGAATATAAATTTATACAAGCAATGGCATTAGCTTTAAGAGATCATCATCATACTAAATCTCACAATAAAACACACGATAAACTCAAAACTATCTTTGATTCTTTAGGATCAACTGATTAAGATCTTAACCAAGTAATCAGAATTAAGAGTCATTAATGAATAAATCATTTAGATATTGCACGATGAAGTTCACAAAGTCAATTTTTTGACTATTTAAGATGTATAAAGTGGCAGTCTTGTCATTCCTGATGTAATATTTATTTTATTTTAAACTAATATCACTTAGTAATCAAACCCAGAATCAATGAAAATGGAAGTTGCAAAGTTTAAGGGTTAAATGAGGAGATAGGAAATAGAGTATAACCTAAATGTTGCTCTTCTTGAGGGAATTTTTAGCAAAAAGGAATATGTAAGTTGATTCTGAAAAATTACAAATAATGCATTTAAGCAATATTAACCATTTGTTAATGATAAATAAATAGGATGTGAAAATGAAGCTAGTTGAAGAAAACAAAGAGTTGATTAATAGGTCAGTATTAAATCCAGAAGAGGATAAGTTAATAGAACAGAGATTGGGGCTTGTAACATAAGTAAGAGAGGTGTAAAATTTAGCGCAATAATCCAATCAGAAAATAGACAAGGAAGAATTTGTAACTGAAATATTTTAAGTTAACTTCCAAATTTAGTAAAAAGGACTGAAGGATGCATAGTTATTGATTAAAAGACTTAATGAGGATAAGAAGGAAAGAGAATAGAAAAAGCTCATACAATAAAAATTAGAGTAAGAGAAAAGAAAGAAAGGTGAGGATGAGATAATGAGAAAGTAAGAGGAAGAGATGTTTAAGAAAGAGGAAGAGAAACGCAAAAAGTAGGAAGAAATAGAAAAGAAATTCTAAGACAAACATTAGGAGAGATAAAAGTACAGAGAAGACTCTCAAGTTAAAATTAAGACAGTAATCAATTCAAAGCCCTTGTATAAGTAATATGAGGAGAAATATATACAGGAGATAGAGATGCCATAACTAGAAATGAAGAAGAAATAACTTGAAGAGTTGCGTAATCTTCACAAACCAATTCAGAAGTAAGATCTATTAGAGCATGCTATGAAATATGAACGCATGAAGCAGTAATAATTGGAAGATATCAAGAAGCATAGGGATTTAAGTATCCAGGCAGAGAAGGATCGTACTGCTAATCTTAGATATAAAATCAAAGAAAGTTTGAATTTGTCAGTTATTGATCCAAAGAAAATTGAAGATGAGAAAATATTAGAAGAACGCAAGAAATATACAGACAAGGTTAGGAATTATGCGAAGTAAGTCAAGGAAATGTATTGGCCAAAAGTCAGTGAAACTAAATAATTAGAGTTAGAGTAAAGAATAGACTAGCTACGTAGTTAGAACATTCGTAGAAGTGTAAATGACCTAACAGGAGATGGTAAGAACACTAATAGAAGAAGTGGAAGAGGAACTGCGTCTGCTACACAAGATGATGAAACTGCCTCTCAAATTGAAAAAAAGGTAATTGATTGGAAGAAACTAATTAATCCAATGGCACCTTAGTAAAAGCATCCAAAACTAGACGATTCTGTTTATAAATCAATGGATTTCTTGAGAGAGTTAAGAGCGAAAAGAGAATAAGATGAGAAAGATGGTATTGCTCCAAGGAGAGTAAATGATCTTCAGAAAATTGAAAAGATGCTTGCTAACCCTAATATTAGTGATAATGAGAAAATGGATTATGTAAAGAAAAGAGCTGAACTCATTGAAAAGCAGGCTTTAAGAGATGAAATGCTAATAAGAGCTGGCCATGTAGATAATATTGAAAAGAATATTGCAGTAAATGATAAATACATTGACGCTATTACTGCTAAGCTTAAGATTCTAGATCAGATTTGATTTTATATGCTCATTCACAATTTAATTACATTCAGTTTGTATTGCTATCCTTATTAAATTATTAATCTTCTATTTTGATGTCATTTTATTTCTTGAGGGGTTTTGGGGTTTTGGGGTTTTGGGG